TCAGACATTGCTTGCTTCTCTGCAGCAAACAACAAGTACTAGTTTCAGCTACGTGCATTCACAGAAACCTTATTATTTTTACATGTGAAATTGCGAAGTGTAACACGAGAAAGGACGCTACAGGGAATCACCTTAAATTTTACAGATAGAAAATTTTCAAGTAAACTTGCTATACGCCTTTTTAATGCACCACCAACGTAGAGTGCGCCACGCGAGTTCGAGAAGAAACATCAACCAAACCGTTTGTTTACATCAGAATAAGTATTTTCCCCAACGCAAATAACAGCATTTTTCATTCAAAATCTTGCCAATTTCCATCGGTAATTGTCTTATTGTACGATTTTCCACAAATCTGAACTGATTTGCACCTTAACTATTCACACACAAGAAATCCGGAAGATCATAACCACTAAGGCACTTTTCTAATTTTTCACTTATTTCAGGCAGACCAGGAATCAATTTTGACAAACACCTCGAAAATCACACGACCTTGCGCTTCGGTCAGAGAGCGTATAGGGCGTCGTTGTGCCAATTTGGTCGTGGCACATTTCGAGTATGAGAGAGTAATTGCAGTTACATCAAAAGTGCCTGAGAAAAATGCAAGTAATTTCGCAGATTACCCGAAGTTGCGATAGTGAAGGTATGATCACTAGACTGATGCAAATTACATACATTGCCTTCTAGTCTTTTTCCATATTGAGCTGCAAAACAGCTCGATAGCTATTCTTATAGAAAATTTTCTCAGCTGCAACTTTGCTGAAGATCATTTCTATGTAAAACGAGACAGGAAATAGTTATTAATTATTTGAGAGATTGGTAAACTTATGACATGATCAAGCAGCTGCTCTGTAGGCAACACTGTATTTTGCAGTGTGGCATAGTAGCCATGATTTTAGTGTCCTATTCAACGCCCCAGAAACACCAATGTTGCTTGCTGAGCAGTTGATTGAGCATGAGACATAATACATCATAAGACATCAGTGCATTAAACCATTAATAACTTTCGATCCTTACATTTAATCAAAAAGTGGTCTTCAGCAAAGTTGTAGCTGGGAAAATTTCCTGCAAGTAAAGTTGAAAGCTTTTGAAGCAGAGCGATATGGTGAATTATTAGATAGACATGAACAAAAATCTTGGTTTTACCATAGTAATTCCCATACAAACTTCAAATGGTTTGTGCCATCTCAGTTTCTCACCAAATGGGTTCAAATTTTGAGAGGTTAGTCAGGATTCGATTTGGAATCGTTTAAGTATTGTGGAGCGAAAATCTCAAAATTTGCATCACTCTAATGATCACAGACAAGCAGACATAACACTCTTAAAACGTTCATCGAAATCGTTTTGAACGGTTAATTTAAATGTTTCTTAAAGGGTGATACGGTCAAAATTTGGTCAATATCAACGTATTTCTTTCAATTTTGCATTTAAAAAACCTGAACACCCCTCATTTTGAAGGTGTGTGTGTGTAGAATGTTGCTCCTATTTTGATTTTGGAATTCACTCTTCAGTTGTCAAAATGCCGTCCAAGCAAGAAGAGCAGCGTATCAAAATTTTGCTCGCGCATCGCGAAAATCCGAGCTACTCGCACGCAAAGTTGGCAAAATCGCTAAAAGTTGCCAAATCAACCGTTACAAATGTAATTAAAGTGTTTGGGGAACGTTTATCGACAGCCAGGAAGTCTGGATCGGGGAGGAAATCGAAAACCGGAAGCCGCTGAGACGACAAAGAGAGTTGCCGGTAGTTTCAAGCGAAACCCTAACCTCTCTCTCCGAGATGCCGCAAATAAGCTGGGTGTATCGTCTACAACCGTGCATCGAGCCAAAAAACGAGCCGGACTATCGACTTACAAGAAGGTAGTGACTCCAAATCACGATGATAAACAAAATACGACGGCCAAAGCGCGATCCCGGAGGCTGTACACGACGATGCTGACGAAGTTTGACTGCGTGGTAATGGACGACGAAACCTACGTCAAAGCCGACTACAAGCAGCTTCCGGAACAGGAGTTTTATACGGCAAAAGGAAGGGGAAAGGTAGCAGATGTTTTCAAGCACATGAAACTGTCAAAGTTCGCAAAGAAATATCTGGTTTGGCAAGCCATCTGTACCTGTGGCTTGAAAAGCAGCATTTTCATAGCTTCCGGGACTGTCAACCAAGAAATTTACGTGAAAGAGTGTTTGAATAAACGTCTGCTGCCTTTCCTGAAGAAACACGGTTGTTCCGTACTGTTTTGGCCGGATTTGGCATCTTGCCATTACGGTAAAAAGGCCATGGAGTGGTACGCCGCCAACAACGTGCAGGTGGTTCCCAAGGACAAGAACCCTCCCAACACGCCAGAGCTCCGCCCAATTGAGAAATACTGGGCTATTGTCAAGCGGAACCTAAAGAAGACCAAAAAAACTGCTAAGGGCGAGCAGCAGTTCAAGGCAAACTGGCTTTCTGCGGCGAAGAAGGTGGACAAGGTGGCTGTACAAAATCTGATGGCAGGGGTCAAGCGTAAGGCCCGGCAATTCGGATTTGGAAAAGCGGAAGCCTAACTGAATATTTTTCCTGAATTTTATACTAATTGAACTTGAAAAAGAAATTTAATTTGATTTTTTAAATAAACGATTTCACCGATTTACACGCGTTTTCCCTTGACCAAATTTTGACCGTATCACCCTTTACTTGGTAGTACCGCCAATTGTGGTGCACAAGATCAATTTGCTAGCGTTTGACGTTTACACAGTACAACCATCTGTTGAGTGTATTGCCCATCAAAGTATATACAACAGATGGCGGTACTGTTTACAATGATAAATGTTCAATGTGTTCTGTGATATAACATTGAGGTAGCGTTAGGATAAAATCAAAACATTGAGAAATATAACGCATCACTTTCAGAAATACTTCACTTCGCAACCGATGAACCATTCTGATGGCCATATGAGTACCCAAGTAACCATATAGTCGCAATATAGCTTGTAAGGGAGAACAGCCCATAATGCACCCCTGGGGTAAAATGCCCACTTATAGAAAAACAGCGATAACTTTTCCTCAGATGCATTTTCCGGGTAACGGATTGTGTTTGTTTTCAACTAGAGGTTTCACAGTTGATTCTTGATCATAAAATCATATTTTGACCTACTGATTCCCTTAGAAAATAGCATTTTGTGCAAAATATGATACAGTTGTTAAAATCGTCGACTTCAAATTAAGCTTTTAACAGCATATATCGCAAAAAATTGAACTAATTCACTTTTCGTATATTTTTTAGATGTTTTACTTAATGCATCACAGCTTAACACTCTTGCGACCTTATTTCTGATGTAACATAAAGGAATAATCATCAGGCGTCAGATCACCATGAATCAGGCGTTTTGCCCCGCTATCATATTGGAACCAATTTATAAAATACCTTGAAAATCATGAAAATGCATCGTTCTATAGTTCGAAATCACTTGATCTTCGTAGAAAACATGGTAATGAACCAAACACCATTACTTTCTTCTTGATTTTAGCTTCCATACGCCAGCAATTGACGATTTTGCTTAAACGGTGCGTTTTGCACCATCCTACCCTATATTCTTACTTTGCTTGAGTATGGTTACTTGAGGAATCTGATGAAACTGTCACTTCTTGAAACTGATCCCTTTCGTTACTGGAAAAAAGGATGGATTAAATTAAAAAGGAGGACATTTTCGGGTAAAAGGAGGATGTAGAAAAATTATTGAAAAAGGAGGACATGTCCTCCTTTAGGATACCGTATGGTAAGCCTTGTTGCGGGCATCCTTTTCGTCGGATTGATTGTTGCGGTTTATGTACCTACCTGATCAGATAAGAAATAAACATTTAAGAACTAAAGAATACAACATTCAAGAACTAAAGAATACAACATTCAAGAACTAAAGAATACAACTATAAGAACTAAAGAATATAATATATATTAAGCTATATTTACCATGCAATAGAACCGTTTCAGGTAACGATCTAGATGATCTCCTGCAGCAGACTCCGAGACTATTCGATGTGTACAATGAGGCGGGATCGCTTTAACTTCTGATATATTTTTTTTATTTTCACTTTTTCTCTAAACAAAGCAGTTACCATAGTAATGAGAAAGGTTGGCAAAATTGCTTGTGTCATACTTGAGTTTTCACTGTATTTCTTCTTGTATCCATTCTTGCTTGTGTCACACCTGAGTTTTCCTGTATTTTTTTCACAGAATATCAGTGTAAATTTTACAGGAAAACTGTGAAAAATCACCAAACTGTTTACCGAACATTCATCTGTTGAGACTTCGTTAAAATATCACTGAAATATATTAAGTAAGCTTAATGTGCAGGCCTCACTAGAAACACGAAGGATCAACTGGAACCCACATTCCCATAGCTCTAAACACATCAATGCACAGCTCAAAAACTGCCTCAATGCAAAACCAGTTCTTGAGACCGCTAGCGCGGCCTCCTCCGACGAGTACCTTACGCCCTCAAGTTGTGTCATTTTCCATCCACCAAAGTAACCCATGCATCGCCAATATTACCGCAGCCAAGCGCCCTAAGCCACGCGACGCGCAATCAATCAGCGAGTAACGAAGCTTAAGCCCCCATTCGACTGCAGGGGCCAATGTTGCTCCGTCCTTCCTTCCTTCCGTCCTTTTTTCCGGTGCATATGTGCCTAACTGTAGCTGTAGTTTTGCGCACCGTCAATAAATAGAGAGAACGTAAACACACGCTAAACACTTTGGCAAACGCCTTGCGCCTCGGGCTGAACCAGTCTCTCTTTCTCGTTCCAAAATCGTGACGTATGAAAACGCGACTCTGTCTCAAAGCGACCACCTCAGACACCGCAGCAGGCTATGATTCATCGGGTAAAAACTCGCCGCGCCGCATTCAGCTCTTTTTCCTTTACGACGGCGCTATATCCAGACTGCGGGCTACTACGATCGACTCAGCTGCCTCTGGATGTGCGCTGCTCTGCTCTTGCTCTTCGGGAGACTCAGCAGTCGCAATCAGTCTCAGTCTTCAGCGGTAATTCAGTTCGAACGGACGCATCCTCCCGCGCTCGCGCGTTTCATCCAACACATTGATTTGGGTGAAAAGTGTCTATTGTCAAAGTGAATGGAGTTTAGTGGAAAAAGTGGTCCAGACAAGTTTTTTTTATCCCTTGGATTCGCCTAATCACATGTGATAAATTAGTTGGTACCTATATGAGTAGTGAGTGAAACAGCAACACGATTAGTTGAACTGAAAACCGATACGGTTCTGTCGGCCCATTATCCTAAGGTTAGTGCTTGGACATCACGGAGAGTATAACAGTGGAACTCCTTTGTTTGGCCGCGTTGGTGGATACGCTTATTTGAATATAAATTAGCCAACGGGACGAACTACAGACAGAGGAAACCTGAGCGGTGGCAGTGAGGTGAGTGATCTTATACCTTGTTCAGACTACAGAGTTGTAACATGTTAACTCTGTAGTCTGAATATAGCAGTAAACACTGGACAGACTGAGCAGTTATAACTTGTTATATGCCTATCTTGATGACACTTTTCTTGCGGATAATTAGTGTAACATGTTATAACTCTGTAGTCTGAACAAAGCATTAGTCATATCAGCGTCGGACTTAGCGCTGGAACGAAGCATTTCACGCAGGGATTAATGCAAATCGTGGCAAGTGTTGGTGTGGTTAACAATTGAAACAACTGTCAAACGTCTGAGATATATTTTTATTTTGCAAATGTTGAGCTTCATTTTCAACGCCACAACGGGTCGCTAATCTCACCTAGCGTGTTCAAAATAGCCCAAACATTTCGTTCTCTTCCATCCTCCTAACCATTCAACGATGATGACTACCGCGAATGCGTGTGAATGGTGTGAATTGATTACTCATCAAAGTTATTGTCGTTAGCAAAATAGGTGCCTATATCGAAATTGCGTGTAACAGCAAATAGGCACCATAACAACCCATGTCCGACAACCTGTTTCGGATGAAACGCGACCACTAGTGAGCCCAACTTCTTGACCTTCTATTTCCGGTGCTTGTGCAGTAGCTGGCGTCCGGAATTTCATTGCTTCTAATTGATGAGATCACACATTCCCCTGCGTCGTCGAACTATATTTTCATTTCTCTTCGCGAATGAGCGATCTCTCGTAAATGCTACACTACACATGACTCTCTCGCATCGCGTTAAAGCATAGTGACGTCACACGTCATCACTATTATTATGCAGCGAATCAGAGTACTTCGTATAGGGTGCGGCACCATTTCGGCATACCTCACTACACTTCGGCACTCCTCCCTTAAATCAGTCTTCCGACAGCCGCGTACGTTTTTGTTTTACAGCATTCGTAGTTTAACTTGTGAGCTGCTGTAACTGTTTGCCTTCATTGTTGAAATTGGTCCCATACCCTATGTATAGTGATAACAAAGAAGGTCAGTCGCGTACGTGCCTTCGTGTCGGATATCGAGCAGGTTGGGTTGGGAAATCCAGCAGCACAGGAAACGATCACGTCATGATCGTGCTGGAAACCGGCAACTGTTGATGACGTCCTCCACTCCGATCGGTTACGTATTCGATGACGGCGCGCGCCGTCGTGATCGAATGCAATGATTGATTTATCTTAAAGTGAATAACATTTATTCCCCCTAGCAGAGAGTGAGAGTGACTCATAAGTGAGCGAGCACGCGGTGAATCTGCAAAAAAAAAAAAGTTGTAAGAGAGTGAGAGAGATACACTGCCATGTGGGATTTACTAAATCACGTGCGCGCGGTGGCGAGAATGTAAACAGAGAGTTGAGTCAGATGGTTGAGCCGGTTTGTATATCAACAAGCTACCTAAATTACGGGAGTTTTTAACTGTTTGTATTCTAATGGATATGTCCATTTTTTTCAATTTTGAATCGGGTTTAGTTGTTTCGTTCTGATTGAGTAACCAAGACTGATTAGTCGATTATCGATACAATAACATAAATTTGTTGGGTTTTCTGCTGAACGATATGTAAATGTATGGATATGTTCTTTCGGCATCCGCGCATTTTCTAATTTACCACGGAGTATTGTCCGTAGCACCACAGACAAACAGACGTAACTCTTTGAATAAGTTTTTCTTGAATACATTGTACCTCAATAAATAAGACATCAGTAACGACATCTCTCGAGCTTCTCGTGGAAATCAAGCTTGCTCTATAAGTCGTCATAGTGATCCGATGCCAGCGCTGCAGGTGAGAAAATGATAATATTCAAATCAACCGTTTAATACATGAACGATGATCCAGAATGAAGCGTTATGTTCCTTTGTCTGTGGTAGGCACGATAGCACGTGGACATCGTACGTGGGTCTCAGAATTTTATGAAATTTTGCCCACCGGTAGAGTTTAAGCACAGACAAACAGACATAACTCTTAGAAGAAAATTCTTCAAAAAATATCGTCAAACGTATTTTGCATGCGTACTAACACCATCTATCATCCACATTCCCAAGCAATTTTTTCCAACCGGAGCATCCCTCGTGCATGTTATTTTTTTACTAGTTGCTTTTCCCTCGTTCTGTCAACGCGTCAGCTGCGTTGAATAAAAACAAAACAGATGGAAGTCAGTGATGTCGGTTCTATGAATTTTTCAGAAGATCTATAGAATTGATTGAATTCTACAGAAATACGGATCCGTAGGAAAAATGTTCAGAAGCTAAGACTTTTTTTAGGGATTTGTTTTGTTTGCTTAGTGTGCTTTTTCTTATGCAGGAAGAAAGTTTTTAAACGAGGTAATGTATCACTTATTAGTGCCCTTTCTACCACCGCTCATCACTTCAATGTGCACTCAAAAAATTCCACACGTTTGATCGAAGCGTTTAAACACTTGATTTTTTAAATGCACAATCACATTTACTTTAAGTGTATTTCACCTTGGTTCAATGTGTTACACACGTTAATTTATAAAGTTTCAAATGTTGAAAATCTTTCACTATCTAGTGTATTGCACATTGAATCACACTACTGTTCAAAACAGATGGATTTAAAGTGTTTCGCATTTCAATGCGATGTGAATTGCTTGCTCAGAAAGGTAAACATCGAAAATAAGAGTTGTGACTTTATCCTATCAACCCGCCTCATATAAGCGGCGCCGGTGGTGTAGTGGTAAGCGTGATTACCTCTCACCCCAGCAGGCCTGGGTTCAATCCCAGTCGGCGCCGCCGGGATGTTCTGAGGCATAACATCTCTGATCACGCCTTCCTTCGGAAAGGAAGTAAAGCCGTTGGTCCCCGGTTCATGATTTGATGAGTCGATAGTTAGGGTCCAGGTGTGGGAGCTGCCTTCCTGGCGTCGGTAGCATTGGTGCTCAGCACGGAAAACAAGATCGACGGGAAACAAACCAAAGGGAAAAAAAACCCGCCTCATATATGAGAACAACCGTTGCACAGTGAGATCGAACGAAGACTCCGACAGCAGCACACCCCAACAGTCCATGATCGAATCCCAAATCAGACCCATTAAGAAGATATGTGATGAAAGCTCTGGCCTCTGGCAGTTTTGTTTATAAAGGTAATATATTTGTCGATTCATTTTTAGAGTCGGTACAGTAGAAGTCGATAAAGCAGAATATTGTAAAATATTGAACTATTATGTGTTAAGCTATTGATATCACCAAATGAGGCACATAGAACCCAAGTATGACACAATTCAAATCCATAGTGTTCAGGCATGATTCATAGCATAAGATTCACACATGAAATGGATGTGTTTCACAATAAGCGCAAAATTAAGTGTGAGACACATGATAATGACGTGTGGAATTTTTTGAGTGTGTACAGAGAAGAAAAAAGTAGAAGGGTCTGTGCCTATAGGGGCACGAACGGAAGCTTGACGTAGGACCGCTAGTGGACGGAACAAGTGTGAACATTTAGTTCTTTTAATTGATCAATCATCAATTATCTTAACTCTTTCCGTTTTTTATTTGTAAGCGTATAAAATTTGTAGTATTTATTTCAAAGAGAAAGTTGATGAAGAGAATCCAAGGGACTTGTCAATTTGAGTATTTTCGATTCATCTATCCGACTTTAAAAGGTGTATTTTGATTTTTTTGTTATTTATGAATTTTTAAGTTTTGTGCATTTTGGTATTAAAGTGTATTCAATTCACCCCTAACAGGATTTCCTTCCGAATTATATGAATGGGGCGGGGTGGAAAGTATCGTTTGTGCAGAATATGTAAAAAAGGAGGGAATTCGAGAATTTGAACTCGTGAGAGCTAATTTTCTCACAAATTTGATTTTATTGGCTTTCTGGGGACTGAATATACACCCAAAGCGAATTATTCCCACTTCTCTCAAATTCTATATGGATTTTGAACACTTCCTACCAGTGTGTTCTGGAAAATGGTCGGACGATGATTAATCTCACCAATACATTCGGGCTTACAATTCCACATCTTCTATAGAGACCAGGTTGAGCCTTGATAGCTAGCTGCTTGCGGGAACTGATGACCTTGACAAATGTCCAAATAATACTCTTAACAAATTTATGGTGGTCCTGAAAAGGACCATTTTGAAGTGATGGTTGAGTAATGCTGAGCTGAGCACGACGAGCTACTGATTCCGATCCATAGCATAGCGGTGCAGCTTCTTCCTCCTTTGATGGTTGCTTATGTGGGCTCTGCAGCTCGCTGCTTGCAGGCAGCCTTTCGTTGCTACTGGAGAACAATTTTCAACGCCACACGCCGAAAGCACTGCTACTGCTGCTACTGCTGCTACTAATTTCGACGACCGAACACCACCACATAGTGGTGTGGTCGTTGGGAGCGTGTGGTTCTGAGTATGGCGATGAGTGTGCAAAATATTACGCCATTCCATCCTCCCTATTCGCACGCGCCCGAGGATCGGAGGCGAATGCCACTTCGATTTGTTTCGTCTACTTACTACTCTCTGACGACTGTGCTGGGGAAGCAGCATATGCATGTTGGTAATTGGTGGATTTGTTAGTTAATTCGACAATGCTGAACATTTACCAATTTTTCAATAGTTTCTTGTTGAAAATCATTGTTATCGATGTGTAGCCATGTTTCTGATTGATTGGTGATAAAATTATTGAAATTGGACCAGGGGCAACTGATTTATTAACGTTCAAAATCTTTCTCAATTTGTTACATGTTCCATTTTCGGTTTTCACAAAGTGTACCCCCATATAGAAAGCAAAGACGTAGTCCTACGTCAAAATAATATGTATCAATCAATGATATTCATGGTGAAGTATTGAACATCAATAACTGATAAAAGTTTATAGAATATTACAGTCATCAATATGATTTGTTCTCGAATGCTGTGTACATCGTACAACGTAATTAATGACTAATGTGTAATTTGATGTAATATTCAACTATTTTTTTCTGTATTCGTCAGATGTGGTATGTGAGACACACACTGGAGACCA